TCAGCTGGGGATCTGCAGTCTTGCTGTGGCACTGCAGGCTCAGCCATATGTTGTGGTTCTGAAGCATCCGTCCCAGGAATCTCCTGAAGGTGACGTCTGTTGCGACGAGTCACACTCCCGTTGACCATTTCCACAAGGTAGGATCTTGGCTCCTTGGACTTGCTGATGACTTTGGCAGGCGTTGTCCACCCTTTTTCCCCATCAAGTTTGACTCTCACATTTTGACCAGGGAGAAGTTCGGGAAGGGGGCGAGCTGAATATCTGCGGTTGTAGAAGAATCTGTAAGAATCTTTAGCTTTGGTATCCTTTAAGTAGACTAGGTCTGGGTCAACAGCGCTTGGCATCAATGTTTTTTCCAGGACAGGAACAGTGGTGCGGATCTGTCGGCCAGTCATAAGTTGCGCTGGACTGGAACCTGTTGCTGCTACTGGTGTGGAGCGGTAACTCATAAGGGCTAAGCAGGGGTCAGGCTGTTTGAGGATGTACTTGGCAGTCTGAACACCCCTTTCTGCAGCTCCATTAGACTGCGGGTAATGGGGGCTTGAGGTTATGTGAGTGAACCCATACCTCAGCTTGAATTCTCGGAAATCTGACGATGTAAACTGTGTCCCGTTATCGCTGACGAGTTCCAGCGGGATGCCTCACCTCTCTTCCAATGTCAACATGTATGCCTACATTTCTACACTTAAACAGTTTCCTAAAGTGGATTTTCAATCGAAGCAGGAAATAATACTAAAGGAAGACCAACACCGGAGCTGAAAGGTTTGCTTCACACTATGAGACAGAAGGGTAGCATTTTAATGAAATTATGGAAGTCAGCAGAAAAAGACAAAAAAGTAATGCGAGTCTTGATTTATTCTCAATGTCTTCCAACCAAAGCCAAAAACAGAATGAAGGACGACCGTTGGCGTCGTCTCCACCTCACCTTCTCCCCTTCACAATAAGAGCGTACATTCTGGTGTGTACATTTATTGTATGCGATACACACAGGCCCCCTTTGAACACACAGAATGTCACAAACACAAAAACACATAACATGTGAAACAACATTACAAGTATAGATAAGAAAACAAACACACAAAGGAAAAAGTAAACAGCAGCAACAAACCAAATAACTGAAATACCTAATGGCTTCTTTTCGCAGGAACAGGGGTTGAAGTTGAAAGAGACTCTCCAGATCGATTGCTACCAAACTGTCCACCTGAGGGGGACAGACCAGCTGTAAGAGAAGGACCTGGAAGAGTGTAAAGAAACTGGGGGACTCAGCTGGGTTCCCTGGTGGCCAGCGGCGCCGGTGTTACGTCAATCCGCGTTTCCCCATCAGATACGGTTCCCCCTGCGTCTTCTTGCCGCTCCGCCCCGCCCACGCGGCAAAATACGCCGAGCTCGTTATTAGCACTTAGAACTACAGATACAGTAAAGCTCAAACATGTTTCAGCAAAATTGTCACAGTTTCTTCACATTTTTGCGTGAAACTAATAGTAATAATACTAATAACAATAATAATAACAATAATAATAACAATAATAAATACATATATGTCACATATATATTATAATTATTATAAATATATATATGTTAGATAGATAGATAGATAGATAGATAGATAGATAGATAGATAGATAGATAGATAGATAGATAGTGCTACATGAAATAAAAACTAGGCAATGCATTTTAATGCTCAATATTACCCATCAGATACCGTTCACCCTGTTTTAAAGGGTGAGGAACGTTATCTGATGGGTAAAATATGCCCATCAGTTACTGTTCCCCCACTTTAAAACAGGGGGATACCGTTCCTGTTTTAAAGTGGGGGAACAACATCAAGGGTGCGTAGAACTTATTGAGTGCATCTGGCAGTGAGGGGTCCCTTGAACATTGTGCACCCTTGATGTTGTGGTTAGTGATGCACTTGATGCCCTTCCACATGCGCCGGGGGCCATTGGTGGTGAAGTGACCTTGAATTTTCTGGCCGTATGCGGCTTTGGCCCTCACAATGCCTGCAGCCAGTTCTTTCCTCGCTTCTAGGAGTGCTGATGCCTCGCCTGTCCTGAACACAGCGTCCCGAGCTTTCAGCAGAGCTCTCACCTCAGCATTCAGCCAGGGTTTCTGGTTCAGGTAACAGGTTACTGTCTTGGTGGTGACATCATCAGCACACTTGGAGATGAAGCCAAGGACAGAGGAGGTGTATTCCTCCAGGTCCACCTCTCCCTCATAAGTAGCTGAAAACAGTCCTGGAGCACAAAGGCTGCATCCCTGGGCCACACAGTGACTGTCTTCTTTGTTGGTCTGATCCGTCTCATCAGTGGATGATATGCTGGCGCCAGGAGGATGGAGATGTGGTCAGAGAGGCCAAGATGGGGACGAGGAAGGGCTCTGTACGCACCGTGAATGTTGGTGTACACACAGTCAAGAGTGTTGTCTCCGTGTGTGGGAAAGGTGACGTGCTGGTAAAAACTGGGCAGAGTGTCCGTCAGTTTCACATTGTTAAAGTCCCCTTCAACCACATAAAACGCCTCCTGTGGATACTAATTTAATACTTTCCTGTGGTGTCCCATTTTCTATATTCAAACTCTCAGAATAATTCTTCTTTCTTTTAGAAAAATTTTAATCCATCTAAACATATGACCATTTATACCCAGTCTTCTAATTTTGATTAAGATCATATCATATGCTCTCAATGTCAAAAAATACTGCCACAACACTCTATTTATTCACTTGAATAAATTCTAATTTCATGCTCTAAACATAAAACATCGCCCTCGCCTGAAACTCTGAGACGATAAGAGTCAATGACAGAGGTTGTCTGCAGGTGTGACAGCAGCTCCAGGGCTCCATCTGGTGGAGAACCTGAAGAGATGGAAGGAGATGGAAACCCCACACAAAACCCAAAACCCAGACTCCCAACAACAGGTTTATCATATATCGTAAAGTTAATATTTTAACCACAAATGTAAATGTGAATTTTACCAGGTTCTTGCTATTATAATTTATACTGACTAAAACTAAAAACAAAAAATAAGGTGCTTAGTTTGGAGTTGGTTATTTAAAACCATTAGATAGGAGGGACACACAGCAGCTGACATAAGATCTTGGAAATTAATGACCCATTAAAAATAAACATAATGTTTTGTGTTGCTTTTTTATTTCAAAATGTGCTCATTTACATAAAAACAATTTGAGACTAATATGTTCTCCTTTCCTTTGTGATGAGCACAGCTTTTGCTCATCACAAAGTAACTAAAATACAATTTTAATGAGGTACTTATTACTTTTAATATTAGTAAGTTTATTTGTACTTAAGTGCAATTTCTTAAATTAATATCTTCGGCACCTCTCTCTCTGTTTTAAAATAAATTAGCTATCGTTTGCTGCAGTTTTATTAGGTTTTGATTTTGCTTGAATTAAAAATTCGCTGTCCCATGGTGTTTTTCCTGGTGTTTATTTTAAAGTCTATGAATGATAAGTGATTTATTGTTCATCCTGTCCTAGTGCAAGCAGCATGTTTTTATGTCTGTGGACCACCTGAAAAAAATGTTCCAGTCCATAAATCAAACACACCAATCTAATCAGCAACCATCGTCTTTTAGAGTTATCATTTAATACGAGTGAAATCTCCCCCGGGGGTCTGGGGGTCACCAAGGGGGTAGAGGCTCCATCACACAGCACGGACAGTTCAGAAACATTTCGGAATTAGAAAAACAATCTATTTATAAACAGATTAAGTTGTGTCTTAAAGTCCCTATCGGTAGATCTATTTTGACTCAAAGCGCAGCAGCCATTCTCCCACTCAATGTGTTTCAAATGTTTTTTAGAATCTTTCTAGCCAGCACCTTCCTCACTCTTATTTTTGTGTCTTTCAGCTGCTGCTCGGCAGTTTGACCCAAAGCTGACAAACACTAAAGCGAAACTGTGGAGAAGTGGCTCCTGCACCACAGTGGGAGGGAGGCATCAAGGAACCAAAGTGACACCAACACAAGTCAAAGTTGGGTTACCCAACACCTACTGTTTCTGTGGTTCATGGAGTACAAGGCTGGACGCTGGTCTTCCATGGACAATAGACTGTTGTGACAGTCAAAATGGAGTCAGATATGTTTACAGATCTATGTCTGTTTTCCTAAATAAAATCTAATATTAATACCATGTTGCCATATTTAAGTTTGTGTACACACATTTTTGGAAATATGGCCACTAACCACTTTCAGTATCATTTCAATGTGAGGCTTCAACATGGATTCAACTATAATATTTCACTCATATTTTTCCATCTGGGATTCCAGTATGACAATGCTTGTTCTACATCTGTTTCTTAAAGATGGTTGTTAAATGTGTGTTAAAGTTAAATGTGATGAGGTAAAATTGAACATTATAAAATATTGAGGCCAAATAAGCTGAAGCAGCATGTACAGCAAATTGTTTGTGCTTGGGAGTGAGAACAAAGGCCAGCAGGGTGGGGTAGGAACAGGACAGGATATGGACTTTTTCTGTAGTCCAAAAATAGATTCTGAAAACACTGTTGCTCAAAGGTTAGTGTGTGGGTAGGAAGAAGACCAGGTGGCTGCAGGTTGAAGAGGAAACATAGTCAAAATTAATCAGCATAGTTCAAATTTAAGCACAGTTTCAGGAGTATCCAATTGGAAAAAAAAATATTTTTTTCTGTGTCATCAAATTGATTGGACTGATTCACTTTGTGCTAAAGAGGACCCTGTTTTGCTGCACCTGCTTCTTTTGAACGCCTCTACAAAAGCTTGGCAAGCTGCTATGGCAAGCAGGCTGGAGGGGGAAAGCTTTAAAGCTGGGCTAAAAGTCTGTTTCTATAATGAAATAAGAAAACCTCAAAAGGTGCTGCGCGTCTCAGTTCTAAATAATTATATTAGTCGCCAGGCCTTTGTCAAGATCAATTGGACAGCCTTTCCTCCTTGTTTAGGATGCTGTGCAGCTGGACTCATTTTGGGTAATACCTTTTAAACTTTACTCTTTTCTTATGATGCGTAACCACAGCAACAGGGTGCCTTACAGCACCCTTATTTGTTGTTTCCAGAAGCTTCTAACATTGCAAAAGCTGAAATAAAACCACAACTGAAGCCAGAAAACCCAGAGGAGTTAGAAAGGAAGCAGAGCAGGAACAAAGAGGAAATTCAAACCATCTCTTCCATTAAGCACAATAGGCAATGTGAGATCGTCAGCTAACAGGTTGGATGAACTTCAAGCCCTGACAAGAACTCAGCAAGAATATAGGGAATGACTGCAGGATTGTATGCCCAACTCCACTGTCTTTCTGCCAGGTTTCCTAACTATACAGTCAGGCAGAGATTTAAAGAGCAGTTGGAAAAGGAAAGAAAGTGGATTAGCAGTGCAACAGTCAGCAACAGATGGTGTCATCCAGAGGGCTGTTTCTCAAAAGCAGGATTCAGAAATTCAGGATAAGAGATAAAAGTCAAGCTTGACATAATGTGACCAGTTCATCCTGGCTTTATCTGTTTTATGAAGATCAAACCAGACTTAAATGGGCCAGCCCCAATGCTCGCACTTTCACCCTTCTGCTGTTCAAATGTTCATGTTGAAGGGATTGCGTGTGTAGTGCTCCCCAATTCTCCACATTTGTCTGTTGCTCAACCCCTTTTGGTTTCTATTTCCAAACTTGTGCTAAGCCTGCATCCAGGCAGACTTTGGACTTCATTGATGCATGTGATGTTTTGAATTAAAAGGCTGAATAAAGGTGCTGAGAGGATTATTGAGGCTTTTATTTTGAAATTTTCAGTAAGCTTCATTTTAATGACCACACTAATTCAATGTGTAACAGTGGTTTGTTTAAACCAGTCACATAAAGCCCACAAGAGCAATTACCTGATGTAAAAATTGTCAAGGCTTTTATTTTGAAATTTTCAGTAAGCTTCATTTTAAATGGCCACACTAATCCAATGTGTAACAGTGGTTGGTTTAATCCAACTATATTATGCCTAAAATAGCAAATAGTTCTAAATCCCTCCTCTGTAATAACTGAGTGTTCCACCATGTTGTAGTTCTGACCTTCTGCTCAGGCCTCTGTTTTAACTGAGTCTTGGCCATAGACAGAACTACAGCTATGGCAGTTATAGCTGCTGGTTTGTAGTCCAAACCAGCAGCTCTGCCTTTCTCTGTGTTCTGTTGCTATAGCGATTAATCCTCAGCCAAATGCTGTGTGTGAGAGACAGAAAGGTGGAGAAGGATTTCTATCTTTCTGAGACACCCAGTCAGTTTTGATGAAAAAAGCAGTCCGAACAACTGCTTCCCATTCAGGATCCGTAAGGCCGATCCAAAAACAGTTTGAAGCATATGAGAGGGCTATTTGTCATCTCCAATAGTACCGCGATTCACATCTGTAGGTCACTCAGAGAAATACCAGCGATGAGAGAAAAATGGTGTGCGCTGAGCTT